ACGACCCTCCATTTGGCTCACCCGCCAGCCATTTTGCTCCAGAGGCCAGACCCCGAAAGTTGCGCTGCCGGTATACAAGCTGCATAGTCGCTTCCATAGCAGGGAAACGTACTGGTGGTTTAAGAACAGAGTGGACACTGACGTCTCATGATGGAGAAAGCCCTCTTCTCACCTCGAATGATCAATACAAGAACATTGCAGTCGCCCTACCAGGATGTGTTCCCCTGTACTAATCTCCCACTCTACGTGCACACACTAGCCTACTCCCTCTCACTCTGACTGTCCACAAGCCTCTTGCCAGATGCTGCTGAAGCGTCTCATCACACGTGCTCCTGGGCCAACACTAGGTAAGTATCGTCTACTCCCACTGCCGTCCCTTGTTTCCCTGATCACATCAACACTTGCCATCCACAGCTTCCTGCTGAGCGCTGCCAAGCTATGGCAGCCGCAGCCTCACAGCCACCGCAGCTGCTCCATCTCGCCTGGACGCTATCTGGTCAGATTGCGCTGTGCTCCAGCATGACCGCACTGCTGCCACTGCCTGAATGTGCATTTCCCCTCTGCCCCTCCCTTTTGTCCTGTCTGGAGGCCGGGGTGTGCATCCGGGTAGGCAGGCGCTACTGCCTATTTATTGGGCTGAGTCCGGGTCCTGTATCTGTTGTGATGAGAATGATGCGTCTGACTCTGTCTTTCTTGCACACATCATTCATACGGCTCGTACCTAAGTTCTTACAGGTGACTGTAGTGAATATGGTGAAGGCATAGGGCCTCGTTAGACACTCCTTGGGGGCTCCTCAGGGCCGAAGGAAGTTTCCTTGGGGGTTTTGAAGGAAATTCCCATCTTCGTTCCACCTATCCTTGGGTTGGCCTCCCAAGGATGATTCCTTTCGGCTGCCGGCAGCCATTTTCATGATATTATAGTCAGCCACGGGGGGGGCAACGACTTGGTCCATTGGCTGATGTCCGTCTTGCTACGGTGTGGTTCAGTTGCCGAAGGCAGGAGATTTTGAAAGGCGCTGGCGACCGGGAAAAAAAAAACCCTTGAAAAGCAATGGACCTCCCCGTTCGAAAATCAAATATCAAATTGGGTGTTGGACGTCACGACGGCAACACGGGGCAGGTGGCGTCCATATCTGCGACATGGAAACGGGCATTTGCAGCGGCGCAGTGGATTCCTCGTACGTCGTCAAGAATTTGTGAGCGCCCCGCGAAGGTCCATCGCCATCGCCTCTGTATGCTGCCGCGCCTGTGTTGAGTCGAGCACACGCGGGGAACGTCGGGGACTTGGCTCTGAGGTTACTGTGGTCGTGGTGAGTTGGTAGGCTGTTGTATTTTCGTGGTTCATGAGCATTGCAACACACGTGCCGATGGAGGGCAGCAGCGATGACGGGCATGCGAAGTTGACGACGATCGAGAAGACGGCCGTGACGGCCGTGCTCTTTCGTTGTCAGCAGGAGAGGGCATTGGGCAGAATGAGAGCGCAGATCCGCACGCGGAGGAGGAAGACGCTTCATCAAATCCCGGTCGAAGGGTTGGATACTGTAGCCATCACTGAGGCTGCAGTTCAGGTTTGTTGTGCCATGGGTTGCAGTGTTCTTCCACGAGCGACGCCGAGGTGGTGGATGAAAAGGAGGATGGGGGGGGGGTGTGGGAGGATCTCAGGTAATGCGCTGCCGATGTCGATGTCGACTGCAGTCAGTGTTGATCCCTCGTCTTCTATGCTGGAGGCCTTCGATAGAGTTGGCCATCAACAATAGAGGAAGCACACATGGAACAGGAGCACCACGACAAGCAAAATTGTGACTAGGAGCAGCAGTGGCAACCTTCAATAGAGGTCGGCCATCAACAACACGTACGACGGGGCCGTAATTCTACGACGATGGTGAAGGTCCACCGAACGGCGACGATGAAGGGAGCAGACGGTAGAGGACAACATACGACGCATGCACTCTAACGGGTCGTACGCCCTTGCACTGCGAGCCGGGTCATGGCATGCGCAGTGGCTTCTGGAGTTGTCCCTTGAAGACCTGCTCTTCGCCTGCCGCCAGTCCATGTTGACGTCCTTCTTCGCAGACCGCCTCTTACGTGTACGTCCAGGCACGCCGCCGTGGATGCAGACGTGGAAGAAGACGACAAGGACAAGCAAAAGGATGACCAGGAGCAGCAGCGGCAACCTTCGAAAGACATCGGCCATGAAAGGGAACTGGGGAAGGGTAGTAGCTAGATGACGGCGGTACACCTCCAGCAAACGGCAACGAAGAGGGCGTCGGCTGAAGTATTCAAATTTGCCGACCGTTCAACCCCTTTCCGTTTGGCGGCACGCACTGCGAGGGAGAACACTGGTCGATGACGTCCGCGGGGGGGGGGGGCGGCCACCAACGGTTACCGTTGGCGTAAAGTTCCTGGAAGCCGAACGTTGAAGACCCAAGATGTCTGTGCGCTGCCCGGTAGGAACTTCAATGGACCAGCCGACGAAAACTTCTTGCCGACGACGGGTGCCCTCGCCGCGCCGATTATCGCGGATCCTTCCAAGGGACCTCAGGAGGTCCCTTGGGGAATGCCACCAAATGGCTGTAGCCCGAGGACGCCCCGAGGATTCCCCAAGGAAATGTTTTCACTTTTTTTTTTCGTTTTCATCCCCAAGGATAGGTGGAACAAAATTTTCCTCGGAGGATTTACGCGCCCGAGGAGTGTCTAACGAGCCCCATAGTCTTACCCCATCAGTAATGGTGGAAGGTCGAGGTTCCAAGGGTTCGGTTGTTCGCCGATGAAAGTGGTAAACTCATTGCCGTATGAGACGAGTCCCAAGTAACTAACTCCAAGGCAGGCCACAAGGTAGTTGTTTGCTGGACTGGGGTCCATACTCTGCCCAGTGTAGCCAGGCGGGGCCTACACTTAGGGCCGACCTACTTGTCTCTGGCCACGGCCCTCACTTAGGGTTGGCCCACATTTTCCACAGCTTCCGTTTTTTTTTGGGCTCACCGAGGCCTGGAGCCTCACAATAAGAAAAAGAAAATAGAAAGAAAAAATTGTGCCAGACCCCTTTAAAAATTAAAACCCTTTAAAGCCCATTCATACACTCCAGACCCCCAAAGGTGCGTCGGAGTCTAATTCCAGATATCAAGAAGTTGCTACAACAAGCGGAGGCCAGTCACAGCTCAAAAGCCAACAAAGGGGTAGAAAGACGTGGGAAGGGGGTCGCAGACAGCACAGTGCTGAGTCTGTTATCCGGGCCCCCCACTCAGACTGAGGGACATGACTGTGTCATAATTGTAAAAGGGACGTTGGGCATGGTTCCCAGCACGTGCTGCTCCCCACGAATAAGACTGGAGCCACCTCATCAGTGAACCCCCGGCAGACATGGACTCTTATCCCCTGTGTGCCGGGAGGCCACAGCAGATGGTGTTTAAAAAAACTAGAAAAAGAGGATTTCAATTCAGTAGCTGCTTATCAACGGCTGCACGTGTGTATCATTCAGGACTGCAATCATTGGGCCGATGACCTGTCTATCACAGCTACATATGTCTAGTACTGTATACCATTCACTACTTGAACTCATAACCCTGTCGATTATCACAGCTGCATGTGTATACCACTCACGACTTGATCCTCTGTTCGCTTTGTATATCTTGCTACCCTTCTCTCATCTTGTCGCCTTCTCTGTATGGTCATGCAGATGTTACCCACACACACTCGTCCTCTTGTTTTTTTGGGGGGAAGTGCTCACTTGAGGGGAGGACGCACTGTTTCTCCCTGAATTTAGAATTCTCACCCGTACTCTCCTCCCTCTTTCTTGTCCTGTTTGGGAAAACATTGCTTCTGTATCTTGCTACCTGCTTTGTCTCCTGTCATTGTGCATAAACACCAGCTGCAGGTCCACACGTCCCTCCGGCCACTAAAACCTCGACTGCCACTCAAAAAAGCAAGTTAATTCCGGCGGCTAACAGGCCAAAGAATCCTGAGCTTGCCGTATCGTCACTCCAGCGGTCCAACAATTACTGAAAAGGGTAGGCCTCCAAGTAACCCTGATGGGAAAAAAACAGCGACCGTCTTCACCCGAATAGAACGCCTGGTATTTATTGCCGTATCTGGTCTGAAAGTTGCACCAAATACCGCTATAATGACCGGGTGTTCTATTCGGGTGACGACGGCGGTGGTCGTTTAAGCACAAAAAATATGCTGACTTTGCAGCTCAGTGAATAGTCCACATGCTATATGCTGACAGTGCAGCTCACTGAAATGACAAGGAAGTACAAAGTATCCTGGCGATTTTTGCGAAGATGTGGCCAGGCAAATTCTCTTCAGATAGTTCACATGCTATATACGGACAGTTGCGCTTCCTCGAAGACATGACCAGGCAAATTGTCTTCAGATACAGCAGCATGCGTGCGCACGCCGCACAGTCCAAGACTCGCTGAATGGCACAGGCATTACTCGATGTTGGTTGCCAAGTTTAGTTTATTTAAGATTTATTTCCCCACCACAAGGGCTTTCAAAAAAAAAAAAAAAAAAAAAAAAAAAGATTTATTTCCCCACCAATATATGGAGCCTCCAACCGGGGAGCCACTTCGGAAGGCTGCTCTTACCACCTCCCTAAATGGTATCCACAACTCGAAGTTATTAAAAATAATAATAGTTCTAATTAAAAAATAAAAATAAAAATGGTGTGCTCTTTATTTGTCTGAGCAAGTTCTTAGAACATGCAGAGGAGGAACGAGAAGAAAAGGGTATGTGTGTTGTGAACTTTATATTTTATTTTATTTTTTTTTAAAGAAAGAAAAGCCCTTGTGTCAGCCCTCTATCCCAGCAGTGGTACGAGAACCGCCAGGATTGAGGGCTTCTCTGTCGGGCTGCTCCATCTATTGGTGGGGAGCGGCACCTGCTGGAAACCGGGTCCAGCGTCCGATTGATGTTTTGTGGTTCTTTCTAAAGTGTCTACGGCCGCCAACCTGCCACTGTGACAATAATGTGCTCTCGTTTTACGATTCTTTTCTTTGCAGGTTAAAACGATAGCCGAGGCCATTGAGATCATCAACGCAAAACCAAAGCCCCTGGCACTGTATTATTTCACCAGAGATGAATCAGCAGCACAGCGCATGGTGGACAGAACGTCCTCAGGAAGTGTTGTTATCAACAATTGTCTGATCCAGGTGAGAAACAGCCTGGGGGGGGGGGGGGGGGGGGGGGGGGGGGGGCGGGGCAATCGGTGTGTTTTTGTAATTCTTTTCTATCTACGTTCCAGAGAGCACAGAACTCGCCTCGCTAGATGGAATAGACATGTCAAGCGTGTCAGCTTGAGTTGGACAGTTCCCCGCCCGGACGTTCCGGCTTCATATTTGCAGGAGGATCATCCAGAATGCATCCTGATGGGATGCGCATCCTGAACCTCTTGGCTCTGGTACCGTTGGTAGATTATCATTTCACTTGTGCTGTAAAGCCCCCAGTTATTCTTTTTTTTTTTGAAAATTTGGACCATTTCTCGATTTATTCGTGTCATCCTTGCGCAGGGGCCATGCTAATCTTCTCTGTATCGTTCCAATTTTAACGGATGTCCCGAAGGACAAGCCCCCAGTTATTCTACACCTCTAACCTTTGAAAGTCATGTCACAGCCTCGACTAGAGTCAAGCTCACAGTCAGGGTTGTCTTTCCCCGTCAATTTTCTTCCATGCTCGATCCCTCGACAGGGCCACAGGGATTATTGTTAGCGCTTGTCAGCTCCTATCAATTTCAAGAATCTCAAGTACTTCCCATCCATCATCTCACTTCTACACTTGATGGAGATGGAATCCCACTTGAGACTTGAGTGCCACTCCGCAGAATACACTAGAAAGAATTATTGAAGCAGCACACACAAAAGCGTTGATCAAACCGACAATTGGCTCAAGAAACCCTATTGTATAGTGAACACCAAGTTCTCCCCGGCTACGGCTGCACTCCCTCTCCCCTCAACCGGTGTTTAAAGGAGCGAAGTTCCAGTCTCATCAAACAGCAAAAATGTGATGATTTATGGATGAGGGGTTCTGACCCAAGTCGTAACGTTGAGTACCTGCTACTTGCCTGTGCCTGCAGTAAGAAGAAGACAAACCGGCAACCACCCGCCACAAAGGTTTTTTCTACCACCATGCTAGGCAAACAGAGACTCTAATATGTGTGCAGGACCCTGGGGATTCTGCAGCCTGAAGAGAGTTCAGCCTCCTGATGAGTAAGTCGGTGAATCTCCGACGAAACAGTTTGTCACAGCCCCTCGTTTGTTGTCCTCTTCTCCCTATCTGCCTACGGTTTACGGGCAGCTCTGTTTGACGATGTATTATATATCTATGAATCTATGATAATGCATGGGTGGCCATATGTGTGTGTATTTGGGTGGTTAGTGTAGTGTTTGGACTCAGATAAGTTCATCGCCATCTTAAACCACTAGTACACGGCCGCAGCCTTGCAGTCCGAAACTTGTCGCCAGAAGAAAACGAGGCTGGAACGTCAAACGCTGGGCCCGGCATTGATAAATTGGATCGGCGGTCGCGTTTCCGTTTCGCGCTTCCAGAATTTGAGGTGTCGGGCCCGCAGCCCAGGTGCCCATGTACTGGCGCTTTAAACCACCAGTACATGGCCCCAGGCAGATCGAGAACCTGTTTGGAGCCTCTCCTAAAATTTAGGAGGCCGAGCGTCGTAGACAAAATGAATCGGCGGTGGGCGGCGGCCTCCGAAAGGGGCCTGCGGCCGATAGCTGGCATGTACTGGTGCTTTAACAACAAGCGTGTAAACTTGCAAATGCGGCAATGCCAATAGTATTGTCCAGCCTCGGTACCTGACATCTGTAGAAAAGGAAAAAAAAAAAAAACATGCCAGAATGGGGGTCGGTAGGTGAAGTAGACATAATGCTCGAGCCTGGCGCCCGATGTACCCGAGTAATGTGGCTTGCTTGACTGTGCCTCAACTGGGGCTGGGAGGGGCTTTCAAGGCTTCGCGCTTGGCCCTGCTTAGCTCGGGTGCGTAGAACTACCGTCTGGTCCAAGTCGACCTCTGAAATAACATGGTGATAGTCCTGAGTATTCGATACTGAGGTAGGATAGTAGGGATAGTGGTGCGCTAGGAGAATTGCCGAGAGGATGGGTAGGGAGGTGACCTTACCGTGCGTATGGGAGTGTCAGGACAGCCAATAGCTGAGGCAATAACCCCCTGTGTCCGGAGTCCGGCTTCTACAAACCCTGGGCTTTAAAAAACAAAACAAAACAAAAAACGGGCAAGTATGTTGCAGTCACACCCAAAGTTCAGAATAAGCAACTTTAGCAGTTCCCGACATTATGGAGCAAAAAAGGCGACCCCCCTAAATCTGCCAAGCGCCACTGTGGGTAACAACTGGCGAAGTTTCAGACCCCCGCTAAACTTGCGCATTTCGAAACTCACACCATGACACCGGCGCCACTTGTCTTTTGTTGCCTATTTCAAACTAAAAGTGCATCACAACCACAGTTCCCCCCCCAGAAAGAGAGAGAGAGAGAGAGAGAGAGAGAGAGAGAGCTGTCTCTTATACACATCTAGATGTGTATAAGAGACAGGATAGATAGATAGATAGATAGAGAGAGAGAGAGATTGGACATGTCTTGCAGCACAAACTACGATGATTGATTGACCAGACAGAGAGAGAGAGAGAGAGAGAGAGAGAGAGAGAGAGAGGGGGGGGGGGGGGGGGGGGAGAGGATTTCTTTGTTTTTTTTTTTCCCCTTTTTTCAAGTTTACAGGTCTGTACATTTGGGCCAAAGGCCCTCCTCCGTGCAAGCATGGATTTGAACCGGCGGCCTCGGCCTCAAGAACGACGTATCGTAACCACTACAGCCAAGACACGGTGTTCGAAAGTGGAATGTCAATCTGAACCCCTTCACAGTGCTTCAATGCAATTAATAAGAGAACCAGGCAGTGGCTGTGACAAAACCAACATTTGCCTCTTCCTGTTTTCACCCTCCTTCCGCCACCACCTCTCTTCTTCCCTTCCTCGTTCTCCACATCACCCTTCTTTTCATCTGTCTCAACTTTAGAACCAATGTTGTACCCGCTCGTTTTCTTCCTCTCCATCTGCTGGGCCTCCTTTGGCTCCACCTCTCTCTTCACAGTGCTTCAGTGCAATTACCAAGAGAACCAGGCAGTGGCTGTGAAAAAAACCAGCATTTGCCTGTTCCTCTTTTCACCCTCCTTCCTCCACCATCTCTCTTTTCCCCCCTCCTCTTTTTCCACATCATCCTTTTTTTTTTTTTCATCGGTCTCAGCTTTGCAACCAATGTTGTCCCCCCTCTTTTTCTTCCTGTCCATCTGCTGGGCCTCCTTTGGCTCCACCTCTCTCTCCACAGTGCGTCAGTGCAATTAATAAGAGAACCAGGCAGTGGCTGTGACAAAACCAGCATTTGCCTGTTCCTCTTTTCACCCTCCGTCCTTCACCATCTTTCTTTTCCCCCTCCTCTTCTTTTCATCACTCTCGACTTTACAACCAATGTTGGCCCTTCTTTTTCTTCCTCTCCATCTGCTGGCCTGCCTTTGGCTCCACGTCTCTTTTTAAAATGTTTTGTCGTTGGCATTGTACTGAAACCCTCGTTCCCCTCTCCTCTTCCCTTCTGCGTCGCAATCCCCCGTAACGTGCTTCACCACCTGCTCTTCCAGCAACTCACCCGCTTCCTCTCTCTTCCCCCCTCAGCTTATGCCTTGCCCTCAATTTCTCTGCTGCTTCTCCTCCTATGCTGCTACTGTTTGTTTCCTCTCCTGCCCCCCTTTCTGTATTTGTGTGGTGTGTACCAACTGAGCTGGGCCAGCTAGTGCTCTGCCCCATTTTGTTTTCGTTCCTTCTCCTCTGTTGTCGCTGTTTTTTCCCCTCTGTACCAACTGAACTCAGGTCAGATTCATCGTAACACCGTGAGTCCGAGATTTTTGCATTTTCAGATTTGCTGTTTTGTTTGTAGTCTTCGACTCATCGTGGATTACGATTTCGATTTTTGGACTTTTGCATTATTATTTTCTTCGACACACACCCGGAGTTCTGAGGAACTACGCTCCGGAACTTGGGTTAGTAAAAATATTCTTTTTTTTAAGGTTGGGACGGCACCCGGGGGACAATCCTCGATGAAGTACAAGGCGGATAGATGTCCTTAGAAAAATCAGAGTGAGTAGCTTGAGGAGAAGGTCTGATGCATGTGATACACCATGCCGTTCTTGACAATGTGGTGACACTGAGATATTAAACCACCAGTGCTTCCTTAAGTCATGCCCGTAAACAAGCCGCGACTTTAGGAAATGGACGGGCCATGACGGGAGCGCCCAAATTCATCCGACTAGAAACGTTTCTACTCCATTTTTTTCCCACGGCCGATAGCTGGGCCAAGTACTGGTGGTCTTTTAAACCACCAGTACTTCCAAAAGTCGTGCCCGTAAACAAGCCGCAACTTCCCGCAAGTTTAGAAAACGTACGGGCCACTACAGGAGCACCCAAATTCATCCTACTAGAAACGTTTCAGCTTCATTTTTTTTCCCGCGGGTCAAGTAAGTACTGGTGGTTTAAACCACCAGTACTTCCAAAAACGGTGCCCGTAACCAAGCCGCGACTTCAGGAAACGTACGGGCCACCACAGGAGGGCCCAAATTCATCCGGCTAGAATTGTTTCTACTCCATTTTTTTTTCCACGGCCGATAGCTGGGCCGAGTACTGGTGGTTTAAACCACCAAGCGTAAACAAGCCACGATTTCAGGAAACGTACGGGCCTCTACAGGAGCGCCCAAATTCATCCGACTAGAAACGTTTCTACTCCATTTTTTTTCCACAGCTGATAGCTGGGCCAGGTGCTGGTGGTTTAAAGTTTAAACCTCTTATACTGCATTTTTTGTAACTTGAGTTTCATCGTCTTTCTCGGAGTATTTCCCCATGCCATCCTTCCTTGCTCACATTGTTTGCACGTCTTTTTGACGGCCTTTGTTTTGCAGTTTACTGCCCAAAACCTTCCCTTTGGAGGGGTTGGCGAGAGCGGCATGGGCGCATACCACGGAAAGTTTACCTTTGACACCTTCAGTCATAAGAAGTCACTCCTTCGATACCGAGAGACTATTTTTGGTGACCCTGCGTTTTTGTACCCTCCATTCACTCCAAAGAAGCAGTCTATCATGCTAGCCATCATGCAAGGCAGTCTATTGCTCGCCTTTCTTTCTATGATTGGCCTAAGGAAGTGAGCCGCTCTCCACGTCGCCGGCTGTTCTCGTCCCGGCCTCTTCCATTCTCTTCAAGATTTTGCTCCGAGTCAAATCAAGAATAAGAGAAATGTTTGATGACGACACCCTGCTCAGTCAATCCCATGGAACCCAGGGTATCAATGCTAGCAGGAACCCTCTCCATTGTGTTCTGAGGTTATTCGGATTGCAGAATTTGCAGTCTGTATATGGGACGCTGGACCCGTTTTCCAGCAGGTGACGCTCCCCACCAATAGATGGAGCCTCCCCCCAGGTGGTAGTGGTGTCTGCTCTTACCAGCACCACGATCACCTGAGGTGACGGGCTTAAAAAAAAAAAAAAAAAAAAAAAAAAAAAGAGAAATGTATGGACATCAAAGAAATGAAAGAACAGTCCTCCATTGCCAAGTAAATTGAAGTAATACTGCAAATGCAACAGGAAAATTATTCAGAGATATTGAGGCCGCTGGCCGGTCAGGTTATCTCATTGGAGTATAGCCAAGTGGAAACACATTGGTTTTGGGAAACTCCTTCCTCTTGCCTTTTTTTTTTTTTTAAATAAAAAATCATAACACAAATAATAATACACTTTGGGGTGACCTCCTTGACTGGATTTGCCTCGATGGACATCCGGATGAGGTCCAGTCCCCTCTGGATACTGTCCCAGTCTGGGCTTGGTGCGGGGAACTTTGTGAGAAACGCCGGAGTGTGAAGAGAGTCGAAAACGGCCGGAGTGTGAAAATGGCCAGTGACGGCTCGTTAGGCTGACTCCAACTGTGGTCTCAATATGTTCCAACTTCCAAACAATGTTTATGGGATGCTGGACCCGGTTTCCAGCAGGTTCGGCTCCCCACCAGTAGATTGGAGCACCCAGCAGACGATACTAGGTAAGGTGGTTGCTCGTATCACTTCACCTAGTATACCACCGCACAAGTTTTTTCTTAAAAAATATATAAAAAAAAAAAAAAGTCTGACTCCGTACTCAGTTGGCAGTTGAAAACAGGATCATTACCATCAAAACTTGGGCACACTGGAAAAAGAGGAGGAAGGAGGTGGGAGGGAAAGTAGCGCAGAAAAAAGATTCATTAAAATGTCATTGTGACAACTGAAGCCGAACCGCGAGGCTCCCAACATGTTTCGGTTGTGTCACCGTCACAGCCACCATCAGGGGAGATGATTCAGTGCGCTACCTAGCTTCTACTCAGTTCCCTACAAATAGTCCATCAACAAGTATTTCTTCCCGGGTTCCAGCCGATGCATTTGGGAGAGAGAGAGAGAGAGAGAGAGAGAGAGAGAGAGAGAGAGAGAGAGAGAGAGAAGGCGGGAAGAGAGGTGGGAAAAGAGCGGCAGACAGAGAGACAGAGATTGGCGCAGACAGGGGGTGACATGCTTCGTGCAGATGGGGAAATAGCGGGACGTAAAGGGGCAACAACAACACACAGCCCAATCCTGATAGCGCGGGAAGGAGAGCGGAAGGGGACGAGAAGCGATGAGCGTGGGAAAAGGTCCATGGCAGATTATACAGATCAGTCGAGAAGCAGAGGGCGGGGCTCCACTAGCGAGGAAGCTGCTATGACGCCAGCAGAAATCGCATCGACAAGATTGGGGATAGTCTATCATCGGGGTGTCAGGTGGATATGTCGAAGCTCTCGTGTGTTGGTGCATTGTCTTCGAATTGAATGAGAAGATCTTCTTTGTCGCGGGGCGCTGTGATATCACACAGATGCAGAACATGACGATGACGACGTTTTACCCCTTCCAGTCCTGAAACCTTGCTCAGTAAGACCCTCAGATAGCATCTAAACCCATCCTTTCGAACAGTCCAGGTTCTTGGCTGAAAAATCCTTGGCGGCTTAAAAAAAAAGGGTCCGCCATGGGCACCCCTTCAGCCGCAATTCCCGGGGGTGAGTTGTTAAATTTGGGTACTGAATTGTTGATGATCCTCAACCAAAAGCTGTTTGTATTGCAGCACTGCACCAACTTTTTAAGTTTTTAACCAAAACTTGAGAAGATTTCGGAAAGTATATCCAGGGCATCTGGAGTCTGGACACCGGTATCCAGACAGTCCGCATGCCTGTCAGAATGTCTGGATTGTATTGATGGATATGCGCTTGTATAATTATTATTATTGCTGACATTTCCGTTCCTTCTCTGGCAGAGGAGTTGATTTGGCCAATTCTGGTAGTTTGTATGTGGTAGAGTCTCCAATTGGGATTGTTAGTGGTATCCCATGCATCACTGACCGCCCACTCTTGGGGCATACTCACACTAGCACGTACTTCTGCAAATTTTACGTATGTGAATTTGCGTTTATATGGCACCTGGGGGTCACACTGCTCACCCGTTTGTTGCCCGATGCAGAAAGGACAGGGTCGCGACCTGGACTTGAGATGCGAAAATGCGTTGTGTGCAGTCAGACAGCACAATGCACTTCAATTTTTTTTTGTTTGCTTCCAGAAAGCAGTAGAGGAAAAAGAAATGCGATTTTGCGGGGACCTCTGGAGGTCCCCGCAAAATATGTAAGTCCGCGGCTGTCCAGGCCGCTGACATTTACGTGCCCTTTCGTGTGAACACGCAAAATACGTGCCTGGTGTGACCCAGAAAACGAAAACCACATCAAATTTGCGATTTTGCGAAAATACGTGGTAGTGTGAGGATGCCCTTGGACGGTTATAATCGACTTATTTCTAAAATACAGCTGTCAGCCCTGAGCTGACTGCGGGCCATTTGGTACGAACACCACTTTTCTGCCCTATGCTAACCCCTCAAGCACTGAAAAGAGCATTTAGAGAATTTTCAATTTTAGACGTAGTGTTTTCAATTTTTTATTTATTTTTTTTAATTATTTTTTATTATTATTATTATTTCTTTTTGCCCTGCTGTAGTGTGAAGGGGGGATGGAAGGGGGTGCAATTCTTGACAAAGTAGAGCTTTCTTACCGAATATGTAATAAATGTGCTCTTGCATTGCAACATCAATTTGTTGTGTAAGACTACCATAGGCTACCAGCCAGGCCGCCGGGGTCGCCTTTTTTTCCCGGGGGGCCCGGCAGTGCATATGCCGGAAAACGGGTCCGGTGTCCCTTGCATATAAGCCGCAGTCATACAGGGCTGGGAAAGCACTGCGGACCAATCCCATCCCCGACTGCAGCCAGCCCCACTGCCTGCAGCCGATGTCCACGGAAAGGTGAAATTTGTCCTGCCAACCGTTCTCCGGGAGCCCACAGACTGAAGATTGCGGCTTGGAAAAACATAGTTTTGTGTTGTCATATAGTCTGCAGCCTGGAAAAGTCTCACAGGAGGATTCCTCGCTGCAATTTTGTGCGAACTCTAGAGGGTAGGGGGGAGGGCATGTCGCTCCTGGAAAAGTCTCAGAAAAGTCTCACGGGAGGCAGCAGCCAATAGCGACGAAGAGTGCCACCAAAAAAAAAAGGAAAAACAAAGGAAAAAAGAACAAAACAAATGAGTGCCTATGGAGACAGCCAGTCAACGATTAGCTCAACTGACTTCAAAAGGGTTTCCCAAGAGCATTTGGTCCTCTGCGGTGGGGTCCCCGCAAAACTGTTTTCCAGCTTTCCGAAATTGTTTGCCCGTTTTTTTTGGCTGGCCGGTTTTTCCATCCTTTTTCCTGTGGGGTCCAACCCTCAGCTCATAACTAAACTAGCCAACCAGAGGCAATCACAATTTAGAAGAGATTCGAATCTGCAGTTACTCAACTCAATAAGCAAGAGGCTCCCTACTGCTACCCACCCGCTAACCAATATTGTCTTTTCTTTTTTTTCTTTTCTTTTTAAGGATTTTGAAAGTTTTGAGAATTTTTTAAGATACCGGGGCATTACCCGGCTATGGCTAAGAAAAATTGGAGCTACTGAGAAAATTGCTACGACAAACTACAGAAATAGGCAAAATTGAAAATTCAGAAAAAGACGCAGAACCCCCCCATCAATCCTCTTTACCTCACTCCGGCAAGACTCACTGCAGCAGAGCCGCCATCTCTGCTGCTGCTGTACCCTATTTCCATCCTACGAGCTACCCCCCTCACTAATAGGACGCTTGATATCCAACCATCTACTTATCCTGCTCACCTCTTTTTTTTAGAAAAAATAAGAAAAAACTTCAAAAAAGCATATGCAAAATTTCTGGAAACGACTCAGACACCCCCAATCAATCCCCTATACCTCACTCTGGCAAGACTTACTGCCCCTCGCTACTAGGACGCGTGATCTCCCACCATCTCCTTCTCCCTCTCACCTCGAGCTCTCTTTTTTTTGAGATACCGGGGCCATTACCCGGCTTCGGCTGAGAAAACGTCTGAGAACACTTTCGATAATTCCGGAAACATAGGAATAGACCGCAGCGGTCCTACAAATGCTCAAAAACCCTCGAAATCCCTAACGAAACCTTCCAAGGCTAACAAATATTGTCACCAAATTTCAGATTACTCTTCCCCAGCACTCTAATTTGTATCCCCTAATTACTCCACCACCCTAATACAGCAATTAAGCTAATTAGTAATTAGTAATTATGATTCCCCAGTAGAAATACTATCACCGTTTTCGTGTTTTCCTTCCCCCCTCTCAGCTTACTATTCCCCAGTACTGTAATTGGTAACCCCTAAACCGTAGGCAGAGAGGGAGAAGAGGACAACAAATGAGGGGCTGTGACAAACTGTTTCGTCGGAGTTTCACCGGCTCATCAGGAGACTGAACCCTCAACAGTCTGCAGAATCCCCTAACTGATTACGCTGTAGTGATAATCCTCCTTAACCCCGGTTGTGGTTAAGCATATATCGTCAAACAGAGCTGCCTGGTAAACCGTAGGCAGAGAGGGAGAAGAGGACAACAAACGAGGGGCTGTGACAAACTGTTTCCTCGGAGTTTCATATATATTGTGGTGTGTTGTGTGTGTGGTGTGTGAGTTCAAGGACGCTACAGCCCTGGAGGTGGGCTGGATATCACCCTGGTATGGATGCAGTTTTGATAACACCTCCAAGGGTTGTAGTGGTTTCCATACTTCGTTCCTATGCAGGAGGGTGCCGGTTTGAGGCCGTCCGTGTACGGCAGGGCATGATGCCCTAGACACACGTTCAGTAATCACTCTGGTAACCTAGGTGTAAGATGAATTTTTTTTTTTTTCCCTTTGTTTTCAAGGGCCAGGGTGTAGTAGAGGGTGGTCGCCAGGCCTCAGGGAGTGCCCCTGTACTCATCCATTGCGAGGTAAGATGGATTGCGAGGGCTCAGGGGGAGTCACCTCAGGATGGCACTGTTGTATCATGACCTATGCTAATGCTCAGATCACAAGTCGTGATCTGCGCCAACGCTTATCGGACTAACTCGAACGTCTTCGTGCAGACACTACCCTAACTCTAACGTTAAGGGTGACCCGGGCACAGGGGGGGTCCATGCATATGCAGTCATCCCGCATATGTGCCTCCTCCCACAGACTCTATGGGCAGCGAACTGCCCGTCCACTAAGATGTGATATCCTGTCCTCCCCTATCCTAAGCATGATGCCTTCCTTTTTTTTTTTTTTTTTTTTTTTTTTTTTTTTTTGGGACCAATGCTCCAGTCTWTTYGTGGGGRGCAACACGTGCTGGGAACCGGGCCCACCGTCCCATATAGAAATATACAAATGATTGGAAGTGCCAAGGCCATTACCTGGCTTCGGCTAAGAACAATCTGAGAACTATGAAAAGAGTTCCGGAAAAATTAAGAAAAACACCGGATAGCTGCTAACCTGCCAACCTATTACTAGGCTACTCAAGCAGCACTCAGTAGGAGTCCTTCAAAAGCTCAGAACCCCTGGAAGCCCCCCACAGAACACTCTAAAATTCTCTAATACTGTCTTCTTCCCTGCCGAGCTCTCCCAGGCCTCATGCCCCCACCCTGCTATACAGGGCAACACGACTCACCCCGGCTCCGGCCAGCGTCGTCCCGACAGCAACCCTTGGTTTTCCCTTGGAATGCCCGGCCCAAAGCATCCCCAGATCTCTCTACCAGGCCTCACGCTCCTGCTGCCTCCCTACCCCAGGCTCCCCAAGAATCCACAGTCCCGACTAATTCCCCCATTGAGAATTCCCACGGACCCCAACCTGGATGAAGCACCACTCGCAGGCATCATGAGATGCCTGTGGGATGAGAAGTACCCAGTACCTACCCCATACTAACACCCAGTGTGTGCGTAGGATTATCTCCCCCCCTTAGATGGGACCCACTGTAGTTTTTTTTGTTTTTTTTCGGGGGAGGGGGGGGGGGGCGGACAAAATGCTCCAATCTCTTCGTGGGGAGCAGCACGTGCTGGGAACCGGGCCCAGTGTCCCATATACCGATTGGTTGTAGGTTCAAACCCTACCTGGGGAGCTCACTATTGATGATTTGATTGTGTGGAATCCAAATTAAAATGAAAGTTATTCAATAAACTAAAAAGAGTACAACATCCTATAAATAATATATAGACAATTAATTGAATTGATTTTTTCTTTTTTATAATGATGATGATACAATAGAGAGGTTTGCTTTTCATAATCAATTTGATTTCTGATGGAAATAAATAGCAACATAATTCATTTGGAAAATATACAAGTACTCACTCTGTGTGGACTTTCGTACGGGTGCCATAGTGACGGGAAACATGCTAGCTGTACCCAGGCTCGACCATGGCACCCCCAGGGACTAGTACATACTGGCGAGACTGACAGATTGGAGGGTCCAAGTGGCCACGCAGAGGTATAGACGGTTTCAGCAGTTTTGGCAGTTTCGTGGGGCTCGCACTGTAGATCACTGCGACAAGTTTTTCCAAAAAATTGTGCATGCTACATCCGCGTAGGGTGCTTTGACCTTTTTGCAGTGCTTCGCGCCTTTCAAATCATGCCTGGCTGCGTATGTTTAGAGATTTTTTACCACAAAGGAGCGTCTTGTAAATTATGGCATTCTCACGGAATGTATGCAATAACCTCATTTCGTTGGTTAATCTCACTTTAGCTAT